TCTGCCAACCATTATTGATATCCAGGTCAAGTTTATTTGTGAAGTATTCAAGTGGCATCCCACCACCGTCTGAAGTATTTACCTCGACCTGAAACAACAGGTGCACATTGTCAGGAAGAGAGTGAAGAGGGAAATTATTTTTTTCCATGTGCTTGTTTTGTTGGCATTGGCAGGCCATGCATTTCTCCCCACTGCTGGACCATAGGTTTGTTGAAATCAAGAACTAAGTGTCATTAATCTTTATCCTTCCAGTACCTGAAATACCTGGATATGGCAAATGTTTGGCATTTAGTCCACCTCTAAAGAACTGTAGTTTTTTTTTTTTTTTTTTTTTTTGACAGGCAGAGTGGACAGTGAGAGAGAGAGACAGAGAGAAAGGTCTTCCTTTGCCGTTGGTTCACCCTCCAATGGCCGCCGCGGCCGGCGCGCTGCGGCCGGCGCACCGCGCTGATCCGATGGCAGGAGCCAGGAGCCAGGTGCTTTTCCTGGTCTCCCATGGGGTGCAGGGCCCAAGCACCTGGGCCATCCTCCACTGCACTCCCTGGCCATAGCAGAGAGCTGGCCTGGAAGAGGGGCAACCGGGACAGAATCCGGCGCCCCGACCGGGACTAGAACCCGGTGTGCCGGCGCCGCTAGGCGGAGGATTAGCCTACTGAGCCGCGGCGCCGGCCCAGAACTGTAGTTTTTAAAATTTTTCTTTGTCCATTTGTCTGTCAACAGACATTTAAGTTGTTTCCGTATCTTTTTACAAATTATTTATTTGTTTTCATTTTATTTGAAAGTCTGTGTGACAGAGAGAGACACAAGAGATCTTCCATCATTGATTCATTCCCCAAGTGCCTGCAACACTCAAGGCTGGTCCAGGCAGAAGCTGAGAGCCCAGAACTCACTCAATCTGGGACTTCCCATGTGGTTGGCAAAGGCCCAAGTACTTTGAGCCATCACCATTGCTTTCTAGATTGCACATTAACAGAAATGCTAGATTGGAAGCAGAGCTGGTATTTGATCCCAAAGAATCTGATATAGGATGCAGGCATCCCAAGTGTTGTCTTAACCACTGTATCAAATGCCCACCCTGAATTGGTGTTAATTCTTTGAATGATTGTTACAATTCACCCATGAAGTCATCTGATCCTGGCTTTTCTTTGTTAGGAAATTTTTGCATGCTGACAAACAAATTCAATTTATTTATTTGTTATTGATCTATTAAGGTTATTTCATGTTGATCCAATTTTTTTGAAAAGCAAGATTACAGAGAGAGAGAGAGAGAAAGAGATCCTTCATTTTCTGGTTCACTCTCCAAATGGTCTCAGCGATGGGCTGGAACAGGCCATAAACCACAGCAAGGAGCCCAGAACACCATCCGAGTCTCCCACATGGGTGGCAGGTGCTCACTCACCGAGGCCATCTTCTGCTTTCCCAGGCATGTTAGCAGAGCTGAATTGGAAGTGGAGCAGCCAAGAACTCAAACCAGCGCCCATATGGAATTCTGACATTGCAGGCAGTGGCAATTTTTCCTCCTGCCAACTCTGAGCTAGTTTGTTTTTCTTTTTCTAGCTCTTAGGTTGTTTGAGATCTTTTTTCTTTTATTTTTATCAACAGTTAATAATTGTACATCTTTATGTACAATGTTTATGTGTGGTGTTTTGGTACATATATGCATGTGTGTTGATCAGTTAAACATTTTTAGGTTATCCATCATCTCAAGCATTTATCATTTCTTTTTAAATGTAGATATTTATCACCAAGAACTTTCCTCCTTAGTACTGCCTTTGCTAGCCCTGTGGTATATTCACTGTATGACCTTGAACACATTACATATCTTTTCCTGCCTCATCCTTTTCAAAATTCGTTTATTGCTTTGTCCTAGAACAGTGTCTGGCATATAGCCTGTGATCAATAAGTACTTGTGAGAAAACTGTGGTACTAAAGAGAAATTGTCAGGAGAACTTCAAGAGTTAATTGCAACAGAAAAAGAGTGTTCAGTTTTCCTGAGGAAGTGACAGCAGAGTGGGGCCTGGAAGGGTCAGTAGGAGCTGCAGGTTAAAGAATGCAACCATTAGCATTTGATCAGAGAAACACACGGAAGGATATTAGCTGTGAGATTAAATTTAGGACCAAAACTGGCATAATTGTGGGATCCAGTTGAACACTGTGTGTTCCAAAGTCCAAGAGTTGCTTCTTTATCTGTTGGCGGGTCTGAAGTCAGCAGGAAAGAAAGAACAGATGAAAAGTGGGGAAGACCACAGACATGTTGTAAGCCTTAAGGTTGACCTTGAACTAGGGTAGTCTCTGAAGCCAACTTTGGTGCTACAAGGACCTTTTGGAGAATCTGGCTTCTTTCATCTCAGAGCTAAACATGCTTCTAGCCTGGGATAGGCAGATGCCTAAGGAGGACCCAGTAGTGGCTGAGAGTCTGGGAGCCCTAAATATTGCCAGGCCACCAAAGTGAGTGAATAGACCAGTGACAACACGCTTGAGCTACAGTGATGCCTGATGCCCTGCAACCAGCACCTGTGCATCCAAAGGAAATGGAAGGAAATGACTAGTGCTTCACTTCTGTCTTCCAAATCTATGCAAAGTCACATGCTCCAGAAGGGTGCAGGAAGGGGATCCTGGGAAACGTAGTTCTGATGTGACTGTTCGCACAGAGCACATCCACCCTGGTGGGGAATTCAGGCTTGGGTGGGATGGCTGTGAGGGTAGAGCGCCCTCTCACTCATCATTGCTGAGCCTCCGCAGACCCTCTAGGCACAGGTGGGCAGTGGGCTCATGCATGCCGCCTCCTCACTGATTCTCCGGAAGAAGGTGCTGAGCATTACATGGTATTCCACAACATTTCAAGGCAATGCAAATAATTCAAACAAGAGCTGAAATTACAAATCACAAAGGTACAAAGGACTCTTGCATGCAGCAGGAAAACACCCCAGTTTGGGCTGCAACCACCTCTGCCCCCTACTCTTCAGCCACATGCCTAGAAAGAGGGAGACTTTCTCGTGAAAATGCAGTCAGTACCAAGCCCTTCCCTCCCTGGGATGTAAGGTGGGCGTGGGGCAAGGAGGTGAGGAATGAGGCTCCCACTATCCTAGGTGGCCTGTGACTTACTGGGTTTATGCGTTTAGTATTTACTATGTGTTCCCCACACTGCCCAGGCATCAGGGAAACAGGCGAAGGGAGCAGAGTTCCTGCCCTCAAGGAGCTTCCGTTCCGGTGAAGGAAACAGAAATAAGAAAACGGACAATGTGTTAACATCAGGCTGTGATATGAAACTTAGGAAGCAAGGTGCGGAAAAGAGAATGTGAGTGGATGGTGTTTTAGAGAAGCTGACCAGGGAACAGTTATCCCAGGGAGTGTTACTTCGAGTACTAACTGCGCACCTAATTCTGATCTCATGATTTTACATGCGTTGGTTCATTGACTCCTCAACAATGGAAGTAATTTGCCCAGCCTTATATCATTAATAACTAGAAGAACTGGGATTTTATCACAGGCAGTCTGGTCCCAGAGTCCAAGCATTAAGCCAGTGGAGGTCTCCTGATCGATTTAGTAATTAAGGGAACAAGAAATGCAAATATCAGAGGGAAGAGCATTTCAGGCAGAAGGAATGGCCTGTGCAGAGACCACAAGGCAGGTGCATGCTTGTTGGGAGGAGGTAAGACAGCATTCGGCTCTGGACATGTTACAGTTTGAGAAGCTTGTTAGACACCACCTGATATATGAAGGACAGTTGGATGTTCATGTTCAGACTTTGTGGGAAGCTTGAAAATAGATAAACTGGTCTGTCTTCAGTATCTTTGTGCCATTGAATGCTATGGACTAGATGAGACTCTAGGGAGTGAGAGGAAAGACAAGGCCAAGGGCTGAAGCCTAGGGCAGGAAAGGAGGAGGCTTTAGCAGAAGAGACCTAAAAAGAGCAGCTGGGAGTGAGAGGTGGGAGTGGAGAGGAGAAAACTTAAGAGAGAAGACTGCCCAAAAGCCAAAGAAGAGAGAGAGAGTGAAAGCGAGAGCGAGAGCGCTGAGTGAAGAAAGGAGCTATCAGATTCAGATATGTCCACTTCTGCTGAGAGGTCCAGTGAGCTGAGGCCTGGGAACTAACCACTGGATTTGGTCACATGAAGGTCATCGTTGGCTTGACACGGGTGCCCTTTCACAGACATTGCAGTTCACAGAAAAGCAACCAAAGCAGTTTTGTTCCAGGTCAAGTCAGGATGGGCGCCCATGCTCTACCCACAAGCCTCAGCTCTGTTCTTACTCATCCCTGAGGGCTCTCAGACACCTCCCAGGATCACCGGAACACAATATGGAAATCAGATTTGCAAGCCAATCCATCTGTTGTATGAGTTGATGAAGCTCAAGTCCAGAAAAGGGAAGATGCTGGCTGAAGGCCATGCAAGTAGCTTAATGAAAACCCAGGTTGTAAGTTATCATTATTTAATGAGACTTAATGGCAGACAAGTTTGTTCCTAGCCTGTTTTATTACACTCTTCCATAGACAGTGCTCAGCATAACAAGTAAAAAAAAAATAAAAAAGGTCTTTTTCACTTTTATATATCTTTGGAAAGGGGAGAATGATAAGAGGAACAAATTCCAATTCATGAAAAATTCAGAAGCCTCGTTAACTAGCTGTTTCCGTATTCTCTTCCCATGCCCCACTTCTCAATGCTTTTGGTCATTCAGCAGGTTCCTTGTAATGAGATAAGCAGATTACAGCCTATGTCATCAACATAGTACTAATAATTACAATTGCTCACACTTCCCAATCCCTGGCTATGGGCCAGCAATGTTCTGTGATGATCACTATAGCCAGTCCCTGAAGTAGACTTACAAGGACCACTCGCTCCCTGTAGCTTGTAAGGGGACTATATGGTAAAATGGTTAAGAGTTCAGGCCCAGTGTCGGATGGCCTGATAGCATATCCCATTCCACAACTCCATGATGGTGGGACCGTGCATGACTTCCTCTCTCCATTTAATCTCATCTTGCAATTGTTTTTGCCTTAGGATCTGTGCTTAAAGCTGAATGAGCCTTCCCAGACGCTGCCCAGAGGAGAAGAGTATAAGGGTCAGTTGGCCACCGAAGAAGGAAGCAGCAGCGACGATGATGAAAGGTACAGGAGGACATACAAACTTCCCAGTGTTCCAGTGAATGAGGGCTCAGATACAGAAGGATTCATGCACTCATTGTGCCCTTAAGTTCATACTCAGTAGGGTGCAATTTTTGAAAAATTGTTTGAACAGTTGTTTGAATCCGTGGAGGCAGAACATATTTATATGGAAAGCCAACTACATATGACCACATTAGCACAAAGGACAAGGGTGAGCTTAATGGAATTATAACTTGTAAGTGACTTACATCTTAGGTGAAGCAGATTGTAGTACTTAAGGATGCAAATTGGAAAAACTAAAAATACAATGAAGGGACTAAGATGGCATACTAAAAACTATTTAAGTCAGGTTGGAATGTTGAAAAGGACAGAAGATCAATTTGAATATACAATATGGTACATGGAGATCCTAATTACAAAACATGATAAATTGGTATTCATCAAAATTGAAAGCTCTACTAATCTTCTTTTTAAAAACACTAAAAAATGAATAAGCAAACAACAGGTAGAAAGTATCCAATCCGTACCTATAATATATTTTTTAAAAACTCCTGTAAATCAATAATAAAACAAACCTAATTTAAAGATGGACAAAATACTTGGACAGGTCCATTATAAAGATGTGAATGGCCCATAAGCACATGAATATGTGATTATCACTAATAGTCATCAGGGAAATGTGACATTGAGATCCTAGTTCTCACCCACTGAAATGACTAACATTAAAAAAGACTGACAGCACAAAATGTTCTCAACAGTGTACAGCAACTAAATTCTCACACAGTGCTGGCAGGAGTGCTACAACCACTTTGGAAAACTGCTGATAGCTTCTTTAAAAATTTAGCACAAACCTACTAAAATTTCTACTCCTAGATATTTAAGCAAAAGAAATGAAGACGTATATCCACATTAAAAAAAACAACAACAACACTGATACAAGACTATTTTTAGCAGATTTATTCTAATGGTCCAGAAGTATAAACAACCCAAATGTCTACCAGCAAGAAAATGGATGAACAAGGTATGATTTACTCATGTCTGTGTCCATTTTCTGTTGCCATAACAGGACACCTCAGACTAGAGGATAGAGCGGAGTTAGCTCAGTGTTCTGGTGGGTGGGAAGACCAAGAGCAAAGCGCCAGCATCTGGTGAGGCCTTCTTGCTATATCCTAACACAATGGAGGGCATCGAGTGGTGAGACAGAGCCAGGCTGCTGGAGGGAGAGAACTTGCTTTCTCAGCAAAGCCACACCCTTGAGGGCCTCATGTCCCAACTACCATCGACATATGACTTGGGGATTAATTTTCCAATGCCTGAATTTGGGAGACACATTCAAATCATAGCAAATACATATCCCATGATGCTTAAGATCTGGAAAAAGTAACCTGTGGTGATGGAAATCAAAGCATTGGCTGCCTGTGGGTAGATGACTGGAGGAAGATTTCATCTGGAATTTTGGGGTAATGAAAATGTACATTTTGATTGAGATGTTGGTTTCAAATACCTGTATTTGTCAAAACTCACTGAGCTGTGCACGTAAGATTGTTGAATTTCACTATATGTAAATTTTGTCAGTAAAAGATTTAAAATATAATAACCAAATCCCTCTCCTGAGAGGAAGTCCAGTTTTTCCCCAAGGCTTTCTACTAGAGCTTGCCTGATCCACCCAGCCAATAAGTGTTACTATCACTCTTCTTCCTGATGACTATTCTTCCTCAGCTTTTCTGGCCTTCTCCTAACTCTCAGATTTTTTCATACCCAAAGCTCAGACCCAAATATCCCCCATTTATTACTCTTTCATGATGGCTGTGTTTAGTACATATTCAAAAAGCCAAAATAGAACCTAAGAGGATTAGAATGCCAGGAAAGAAAACTTCTCTTTCTAAAATGCTTAGTTAGCTCTTTATATAATTCTTACTGTGTGCCAGACACTGTTTCCAGCACTTTAAAGATATTAACTCTCCATGTTAGCCCCTCAGCCTGAGCCCATGCTGCTGGGAATTCCCACCTCTGCCAAGCTCAATGCCCCCTCCTATGGCCTGTCCAGAGCCCTAACCCCGTAACTTCTGGTCCTCTGACCTAATGTTCTTGCAAGGGGAAGCAAAACGCCACCATGTCCTTTTACATTGTTGAGATTGACCTTCACATTCCAATCTAAACCAATTACATTTGAACAGCTCAGCTGGTTCAAAAGTTCAAACTGGGGAAGAGACACTGGTCAGCGTGTTACCTAGAATGTAGAAATGGCTGCAGCTTTAATGCAGCTCTCTCTTGTTCGTGCCACATATGTAGAGGCTTTGTTCTAATCCTCTTCCTTATCCTTGTGACAGCCAGTAAAAAAATTATGAGCTTGCTTTTATGTGTAAAGTACTGTGCTAAAAGAAAGCATTATCATTTCATTTGTTTTTGTAAGCAGGAAGAGTTACAAAATTAGATCATAGAGACCTCTTTTATAGAGCCCCTAAGAACCCCAAAAGTAACTCTTAAGTTTTCCATCATTATGATCATCCATCATCATTTATTAAGCATCTACTAACTAAAACAGCTATCGGCTGGGCTGCTGAATCCCGTGCAGTAACACTTACTATGTATATACCAGGTTGCTTTTCAAAAACTGAGTAAGGTGTTTCTCCAACACCTGCTACTGGAGCTCCCTCCTCTGAGCCAAGTACCAGGTCGCTAGTGCTGTTGTCAGTCCTAGGATCTTTTGTGATTGTGGACTCTGTGTCTTCAAAGGATTGAAGTGCCCCTCAAGGAGGGAAGGGGCCTGCAAGCTCCAGTGGGCTCTTTGCTGAAGGAGAAGGCACCTGAAATCCAGCATCTGCAGGGGGACTGGCAGAGCCAGAAGGCCAGACTGCAAGCCCAGGTAGGACAGCCCTGGTGGGGCTGTGCCCTCACACTGAGGGACACCCTGCCTCCTCCCTCTTACCCAACAACCTTGAGAATGCATGTAGAGAATTCACTTCCTAGCTGGGAAGGGCATTATGGCTATAGGACAGTATGGGATTCTTGGTTTTATTCATTCATTCAAAACCAACAAGCTCATGGGCAATGCTCATGAAGCATTGATGATGCATCAATGAAAAAAAGACAAATCTCCTTATGTTTCATATGTCAGGAATATATATTTTTTAGATACAAAGGTGAGCATAGTCCATATATTTTGATTTTAGCAAAGTAGGTGTGAACAGACAATAAATACTAGATATAAAAATAAATAAATCACATAGAAGGCAATAAGAGCTTCAGGAAAAAGAAAGGTAGAGCAGGGTAGAAGGAATGGGAGGCCATCTGGTAATGGGGAGGACAAGTGTAGCACCAACTAAATGGAGTTGTCAGGAAAAGCCTCAGGAAGGGAGACTGAGCAAGCACCTGAGGTGAGAGAGGCTCTCCATTGAAGGACATTCTAGACTCTTTTTTTTTTTAAATATTTTATTTATTTACTTGAAAGGTAGAGTTACAGAAAGAGGGAGAGATAAAGATCTTCAATATGCTGGTTCACTCCCAAAATGGCCACAACGGTTGGCATTGGGCCGATTCGAAGCCAGGAACCAGGAGCCAGGAGCTTCTTCCAGATCTCCCACGTGGGTGCAGGAGCTCATGGACTTGGGCCATTTTCTACTGCTTTCCCAGGCCATAGCAGAGAGCTGGCTCAGATGAAGAGCAGCCGGGATACGAACTGGCACACATATGGGATGCCGGCGCTGCACAAGGAGATTTAGTCCACTAAGCCACATTGCCAGCCTCCTCTAGACTCTTATTTCTCTTGGAAAGTCTGTAAACCATCCCATGGCCCTTCTTCCCTGGCATTCATGGCAGGGGCTGCAGCATACCCTGGAGGAACTGGACACCCCATTCTACTGGTCACCCTTCATTACTGTAACTAAACTGCCTCGGAGGAGCTTCTTTCTGCTTACAGCTTGGAAGTCCACAGTCCAAGACTGGGAGGCCCTGTTAGTTTGGCTTTGGATGATGGAATATGAAGGGCAGGAGAATCACATGGAAGCCAGGAAGCCCAGAGACAGAGCACATGTCCTCCATGTCCCTATGTCTCTGCCCTAGCAACCCCACCCAATCCATTCACTTCCCATAGGTCCCACCTTCAGATGCAGCAATTGGACCAAGGCTCCACCCTAATCCATCAACCATTAACATAAGGCTTTGGGGTTTAAATTTCTACATAAGTCTGGGGAACTATTTCTGTTCAGACCGTAACATCCAGGTTCTTAAAGCTTCCAATTTCCACCCTCTTCCAAAGATGAAGAGGCTCAACTAGGTTGAAGTGACATTCAGAAAGCTTTAAAATAAATAAATAAACAAGCAAGCAAACAAACCGGGAAGGGACCTGGAGAGTGAGGTCAGCCCCTGGGCAGGGCTTGCAGGTGCAGCAGGCTGTGGAACAGTGCCCTGGCAGCTACGGGGTGGGTGTGCTAGAGCTCAAGCCACTCTCCGACCTTGAGAGGGAGGCCCTGCAGGGCGAGCTCCGGGGGCAGAGCCAGGCCCTGAAAGCCCAGCTCGAGGCTGCCCACCAGCAAGCCCTGCACGCACTGGAGAAGGCCAAAGAGCAGGACAGTTGTGAAGGAGACTGTTTACTGGGCACCTGCCCAGAGAGTCCCTGCGATGGACTGTCCAGTGCATTTGGCCCCTTACTTCCAAGGCCTGTAATGATTATACAGGGTTATTGCCTTGTTCCCTTTTACCATGTGAAGAGGCTCAGTAACTCATTCAGTGTCATCCAGCCAGTAAATGGCAAAGCAGGGATGTAGACTCAGGCATGTTTGGCTTCTTGTTCTGGTTTTCCCTGTCTGCATGTGACCTTGCTAGCATAAGCACAGCTAGCTTTCATGGCTCAGTGATGTCATGCATGATGTGTGCTGGGGAGTCAGGCTCAGCCTGACGGCTAGACAGGAGGAGGGCAGCCCAAGGTTGAGAAAGGCCAGTGGAGCAGCAAACACCTTCCCAAGGGTTTGGAAAAAGGACAATGGAGTCAGGCCCACCATGATGTATAATCTGGCAGTGTGGTCCAAGTACGATTCAGCTAGTGCCTTCTACTTTCTGGCTTGGCTTACCTTCTCTGGAGGGATGCCCTCCCCACTCTCTTAGGAGGTTTTTTGAAGAGATGGCCCAAAAAAACAGGGGAACAAAGCAAAGAAGAGAGAATACAAGGTGGCAAGGACCCAAGAGATCCGTTACAGCTTAACCACTGCATGAAATGTGCCCCAGATATGCCCCTGTTAGTAAATACCAGAAGAAACAACTAAAAGAGCAGACAGTGTTTACCTCCAGAGAGTAGCTTGCAGAGATAGGGGAAAAGAGGAGTGGGAGGCTGCTGCCTTTTATTTAAGACCATCTGGATCTTTGTACTATGTGCATGCATTGTCCTGATCAAAATATAAAATGAGTTTTTTTTAAAAGAAATGAGATTATTCATGTGGGCTGCCTGGCACTACTAGAAGTACCCCTTACTTCTTTTATTCCTGTAAGTCTTTTTCAAATATGGCCAACAATCTAGCAACACTGGCGTGTGTGTTTGCCTGGGCTTTACCCCTCCAGGGCACAGACCTCAACCCCTGGCAGCCCAGAAGCTTGGCTCACCTGTGAGGAAGCAGCTCCCAGACCTCCGCAGTATGGACCAAGGAGTGCCTGAGACCTGATCAGGGGAGAAGAGGGTACTTCCCATTAGGGCCTAACCCCCAGTGCCTGGAAACCCAGGAACTAGATCCAGGGGTCTTCACCGTGGGCTCTGGTCTGCGTGGGAATGGCTCCAAAATGAGACAAAGAAGTCAAGTCCCAATTCTAATTGGACTTAGGGGACAGATATGCTGATTTCTAGTCTAGGACCGTGCATTGAGAGTGGGCTGCCTGGGTTCCAGTTCTGGGTCTGGACCTTACAAAGTAGTGGAGTTCATTCAGGTCATTTAGCTCCTTAGTGCCTCCCTCTCATTTATAAAATGACAGGTAGTGGGAGGTGTCTTATGGGAGACTGAGAAGATCAAAAGAGGTACTATGAGGTGGGTGTTTGGCCTAGCAGTGAAGCTGCTGCTTGGGATGCCCACATCCCATCAGGGTGCCTGGTTCCATTCTGGCTGCTGCCTCCAGTTAATATGCAGACTGGGAAGCAGCAAGATCTGGATTCAATTTCCAGCTCCTGGCTTCAGCCTCCCTGTCCTTGCAAGAATTTGGGGGAATAAAACGGCAACCAAGAAATATCTCTCCCTCTTTCTCTCTTTTTCTCTCTCTTTCTCGCTCTCTTAGATTTATTTGAGAGGCAGAGTTACAGACAGAGAGAGGGATAGAGATAGAAGTCTTCCATCCACCGGTTCAGTCCCCAAATGGCTGCAACAGCAGAGCTGAGCCAATCCAAAGCCAGGAGCCAAGAGCTTCCTCTGGGTCTCCTATATGGGCACAGGAGTCCAAGCACCTGGGCCATCTTCTACTGCTTTCCCATGCCACTAGCAGAGAGCTGGATCGGAAGAGGGGCAGCCAAGACACAAACTGATACCTATATGGGATACCAGTGCCGCAGGCAGAGGCTTAGCCTCTACTACACCACAGGGCCGGCCCCTCTCTCTCTTTAATGAATAAATTTTTAAAAGCTTAAAAAGCCACCCTCATGCTGAGCTCAAGAGATCCCAGGTGATTAACGCTTTCTCTGTCCTTCTGGGGCTCAGCTCTAGGGGGGATAACCCCCATGCATCTTTTCTGTGACTGTGTGAACAAACCTATTTCTCCTAACACCCTCAGTCTCATCTGAAAACTGTAGCTGTATTCTAGCCAGAACTCTCTTGGTTGAAAAGAGAGAGAGAGAGAGAGAGAGAGAGAGAGAGAGAGAGAGAGAGAGAGAGGAAGGGAGGAAGGGAGGAAGGGAGGAAGGGAGGGAGGAAGGAAGGAAGGCAGGAAGGCAGGAAGGAAGGAAGGCAAGCAAAAAAAAAAAAAAAACAAAAAAACAAAACCAGAAATGGTATTAGTTTCCTATTGCTGATATAAGAAATAAGCACAAGGGGCTGGCGCTGTGGCACAGTGGGTTAACACCCTGGCCTGAAGCACCAGCATCCCATATGGGCGTCGGTTCGAGACCTGGCTGTTTCACTTCCTGTCCAGCTCTCTGCTATGGCCCAAGTCTTTGGGCCCCTGTACCCAAGTGGGAGACCGGGAAGACGCTCCTGGCTCCTGTATTCAGATTGGCACAGCTCCAGCCATTGTGGCCATTTGGGGAGTGAACCATCGGATGGAAGACCTCTCTCTCTCTCTTTCTCTTTGCCTCTCCTCTCTCTCTGTAACTCTGACTTTCAAATAAAATAAATTTAAAAAAAGAAACACAAACTGGGAGGTTTAAAACAACGCAGATTAGTCATCTGGCAGTTCCAAGGGTCGGAAACTCTAAACGTAAGGTATTGGTAGGGCCGTGTTAAAGCTAAAGGCTCTAGGGAGTACTCTGCTTTCTCCAGCGACTGGAAGCTGCCCGAATTCCTTGACTCCTAGCCCCTTCCTGCGTCATCAAAGCCAACAGTAGAGCATCTTCAACTCGGTCTTTCTCTCCTCAGTCTCCCCATATCCACCCCAACCTCTGCTTCCACACTCAAGCCTTCTGTCTAACCCTCTGGTACCCCCCCTGTGAGGACCCTTGTGACGCTGGGCCCATCCAGATAATTCAGGGCAGTCTCCCATCCCAAGATCCTTGACTTCATCATATCTGCAATGTCCCTTTTACTGTGTAAGTTAACATGTTCCACTTCTGGAGATCCAGATGTGGACATATCCAGGTGTGAACTCGAGCCAGTGTAGACAGGCAGTTTATAGAGCTGATCATCAAACCTGTTTGACCCATAATAGAATGGGTGAATGAAAGAATGAACCTAAAGGAGCCCCAAGGCTGAGATATAGGCAGCTCTCAGGACTGCTCTAGACCCAGAGCTGAAAAGCCGCAAGGACCAGCCCTTTACTCCCCCAGCCCCGGCATTTCTACTGTCCTTTGCACACCAGCCCTGGGCCTTTATCAGACACCTGCTTCCGCCCCGCTTGTTCTGGGCGGGTAGAAGAGGTTCATGTCAGTGATCCTGAGTGTGTTAAGTCTGGAGCACACAGATGTCTCTCTTTCTCCCCCTGACCATCTACCACCAGACTGCCCAACATGGAAAGGATGTTCACTCTGGTCCAATCAGCTGTGGGTGAGGATGGTTTCACATGGTAAAAAAAAAAAAAAGGCGGGGGGTTGTGCTGTGGCCAGGCCATTGCTGGATTATTCTCTGTAGCCTGATGAGCCAGCCTTCCATGAGGGAGTGGTGAGTGCCCAGAGTGCCCTAGCTTGGATGAGCGTGGCAGAGGGGATGGGTCTTCTACCTCTGTGCTCACTTTCATGGCTGCTTCCTCCCCTTTGTACCCTCAGGCCACAGAGGAGCACCTGAAGAAGGAATCCAGCCGCAGCCTGCAGATCCAACAGCAAGCACACCGGCTGGAGCTTCAGGCCTTGGAGGAGAAGGCGAGTCAAGAGCTGCAGGAGGAGCGTGAGAGGATGCAGGCACAGCACACCCAGGTGCCAGGTACACAACCCAGCTGCCCACACCAGAAATCAGCCGCAGCTGAGGGACGGGTGGACGCTGGAAGCACCAGGCCAGAGTGATCATGATCCTGGCTCTGCCGCCGACTGGCTGTGGGGCCTGGGAACAGTCACTGTGAGCCACATTTTCCTTTTCCATGAAACAGTGTTGCTGTCATGAGATATTGGAAACAAAGTATCTAGCGTATACTTGAACCCGGTGGAAAAACCCAGAAATCTGAGCCTTTATAGGAATGTCGTGGTGTCACCTCAACCTCCCATTTCTTTTTAGAAGATTCCTGCAAACGGGAAACTCGGGCCTCCCTGCTTCTGTTTCTATGTGTCCTCTGCCCCTTTTCAATTTCTTCATTAAAAGCAACTCCTAAGACATTCTAGAAGTCAATGGAGACAGTGAAGATGTTTGGAGCCAAACTCCCTGGGTTTGAAGTCGGGTTCCAATACCCACCAGCTCTGTGACCTTGAGCAAGTTACTTAACTGCTCTGTGCCTCAGTCTCCTGCCTGTAAAATGGGGTTAATAACCACCTTCACCACATAGGGCTGGGATGAGGTTACATGAACAAATGCATGCAAAGGGCTTACAAAGACCGCCTGGCACGTGGTAAATGCTGTGTGAGGTTTGCATCCATTGCTACTGAACATTGTACCACCGGAGACCTCTCTCTGCTTGGGAGATCATCTCTCTCCTTCATTTTCTCCTCTACCCCATCTTCTCACTCCTGACAGCAAGACAAATGCCTCTCCTTATTTCATACTCAGCATTAAAGACCACATTGGCCTCACTGAAGTTCTTCCAAACTCAGGCAGGGCTGTCCTTAGGAGAAGTCTGGGAAGAGTGTTTCCTTTACCTCTGCAAGTGAGTAAGCTCTGCCTGGCCATGTGGCCAAGCTCCCATTAGACTGTGTGTGTCTGGAGAAGGTGATGTGAGGAGCAGGAAGGAGGCAGAGTCCCACAGCCCCAGTCAGCAGCCCCCCTGGAATGGGGTTGGCCCACATGGGAAAAGCTGAAGTTAGTAGCACTGAAGGAAGACACATCACACAAGACAGAGCCAGATTGTGCCCATGGCTCAGGTCCAAGGCCTCCTGGTGCTGGTTAGGCTAGTGATTCCACCCTGACAGCAGCATTTGGCCCACGTGTCCCTGGCTCTTCTGATGCCGCTGCAGCCCAGTTCTTTCCAGGAGGAAGACTCAGAGATGCCTGGAAAGACCCTGGGGACAGGCTGGGATTCTCAGCACCAGTCCCAGAAAGAAGGGGCTTTGTGGACCTGTAACAATGACAACAAATCCCAGGCTTTCCGAGTGTCATGGAAAGGGTAGGAGTGCTTCCACAACAACAGGCTAATGTTAGCTATGCCTGTTCCCAATTTTCCCTATTCCCATGTCTGTGTGTGGCACAGAAGAACTGTGGTATAGATCAGTGTATGAGGAGCAGGGAGGGAGGGTGTCCACCAGGGTGCCTGGTTCCCTAGGTTTGGGACCCAGACACACTAAATGGGTGCATGGATGGCAAGATGGATGGTTGGTTGTGGGAAAGCAGGTGGGTGGATAGAGGAATGGATGGGTGGTGGGTAGGTGGATGGATGGATGGGTGGTGGGTAGGTGGATGGATGGATGAGTGGTGGGCAGGTGGATGGATGGATGGATGGGTTTTGGGTAGGTGGATGGATGGATGGATGGATGAGTGGTGGGTAGGTGGACGGATGGATGAGTGGTGCGTAGTGGATGGATGGATGGGTGGTGAGTAGGTGGATGGGTGGATGAATGGTAGGAAAGGTAGCAGGGAAGGGGAGGGTAATGAATATATACCCTGTAGTACATGCTTTGCTAAAGGATTTTGTTGCACATGTTTTTGTGATAATAGCTTATTTAAAATTGAATTGTGTTTTGATTTTTTTTAAAAGACAAGTTACAGAAATCACTTTACTAAACTTCTATTGGTGAGGCAAGATAGCCAAGTAGATTTTTCTTCTTAGTATCATCAGAATATATTGATTTTATGTGTATTTAATATGATGTACCTTTGACAAAAGTTTTGTAAACTTATGGGAAATCTTTTATAACTGATTAACTTTTATAATATCATTAATTTTTACCCTAATGATCATTTATTTCTTTCATAAATACAAGTTGAGCACCTTCTCTGCACTGTAGCCTGTACTGAGTGCTAATCTTATGGCTTACAGAATAATCAGAACAATGTTTCAAAAGTTACTGCAATAACAAAATTGATCTCTAAAGTCCATAACAGAAAAGTTGAGTATTGAATTTACCAGCCTTTGAAAATTTGTTTCCTTTTTAAATATTAAGAGCTCACTGAGTAGCATCACTACATCAAAAAATATTCATGTTAAAATAGTTTTCTTTGCTTCTCAATCACGCAGGAAAGAACTGCACAGTTAGAAATCAGCCAGTCGCCATGCTCAGAGCAGAGGCTCCAGTTTCTGCCTTACTCTCCCCTGAGTGAAGAACAACTTGTACCAGAGGCTGATTGAGAAATCAGTTTCTTCAGCAGGCAAACCCAGAGACTATCAGTCAGTTGGCCCGAGCTGGCTGTTTCCCCAGCCTGACTTTGGTTATGGGGTCTATACTTTTCTTACGTGGATGGATGGTAGGAGGGTGGGCAGATGGATGGTTGGATGGGTGGATGGATGGATGGATGGATGGGTGGGCCCATGCATTGAGTCAGGTTTAAGCAATATAGATATATGGGTGCTTCTCAATGGAAAGGAGACACTGAGATTGGATTGTCATAAATTTCAAAATCACACGCTTGAGACCCTCACCCCCGGGGTCACTTGTCAGTTCCCTCAGTTTCCTCACTTGGTGCTCTGGGCAAGTGTTGCCTCAGGCCCTCTCACCCTAACCTGCCACCCAGCAGGGGCCAAGAGGCTTAGAGTGCAGACAAACCCCTGCAAGTTCTGAATCCCGACTTCACCATTTCATAGTTGTGTGGCCCAAGGAAACTTACTCATCCTCTCTGATCCTAGGTTCTTTCCTAAAATAGAGCTGGGGTGGGGGATGGGGTGACACAGCAGATAGGAAGGTTGTGGGCTTTAGTGGGAACAGATTTCCAAGGGTTCAGCACTTGTAGTGCTTGATACATGGGGCTTTTGTTACCATGATCCTGGGACAAGTTCGGGGAACTTAACCGAAAGCTTTCAGCAGCTTCCCGTTTGGCCTCACCCCAGAGACTGCTGACCCTGCTGGCCAGACTGAAGCCTTGACCGTGGGCCTAAACTTGCACCGTTTCCTTCTCCAGAGTCCCTCAAGCAAGAGCTGTTGGGGCAGCGGGCAGCTTGCTCCAAGCACCAGCAGGACTTGGAGGCGCTGCGGATCGAGCTGAAGACTATGGGCAGCTCGGGCAGACAGCAGGCTGTGACCCAGTGTCTGGGCGACAGTGAGGACCACACCATCAGCACAGAGGTCGGTACCCCACCCAGGTCACACCCCTTGCCCTTTGGAGCAGCACCAGGGCGGCAAGGAGAAGCCCCACAAAGCACAGGCACATTGAATGCTCACTCCTTCCCCTTCTGAGCTGGGCAAGACTCTGCCCCTCCGCAGGCCCAGGGCACCCAGGGCCGACCTGCAGGCGCCTGTCTGAAGAGCAAGCAACAGATGTTAAGTGCAGCACGTTATTTATAATTCAGAGAGAACAGCGTCTCAGGGCGTGGTCTGGGCCACTCCTCTGACCTGGCAGAGGAGTTTCTTGGGACAGCTCAGCAGACTGACTTCCTGTCTAGACCTCGATGCTCCCGTGAGTGGATGAGGCATGTTACCAGGCTCGGCAGCGACTGTCTTTCCACTTTCTGTCTGTCCCTTCCCTGCAAGTCTGTAGTTCCCAGTGTAGCTGAGGAACACGTCCAGCTTCAGGTGTCAGATCAAAGCCAAGCATGACTTTACAGAGAGCCTTCATGGCTCCCACTGCAGTAAGTTCCGAATGGCCCAGGCTGCCACTAAATGGCCTCTTCCACTGGCTGGACCCTGTATCTCCAGCCACATCCCTGCAGCTGGCAAACTGAGCAGTCACCCAGCCTCTGTCCTCCTGTTTGAACCACCTCCCCCCCTCCCTCCCTCCCTCCCTGCCATGCAGCTTGTCTCTCCTGTCACCCCCCCCCCCACACACACACCCCACACCCCCTGCACCTGCTGAGCTCCATGACACAGCCTGGCTCACACTGGGTTCTACTTCCTGTTAGGCACCTGTCACTCAGGGCTTCTCTAGTTACCTGAACTGGTTTTGGAGTCTTTGGAGAACAAGCCACATCTGTTCTGCCTCCTCTGGTGCCCACCACCACCCCTAACACTCAGCCCAAAGCACACAGCAGGGTCTGCACCAGTGGGTATGGGCATGGTGATGGGTTGGTCTCCCAGCCCTGCTGAAGGTCACAGGGACACAGGATCACACAAGTCAGATTTTGCTGGCACTGAACACAGGACAATGTCTGTGTTTAATGAGAAATATTAGCAAATGATGAATCACAAGGTGTTTAGCCCAAGGAGTTAGGCCCAGCAGAGGGAAGACTGGATGTGTTGCATTATTGTTCTTCATCAGCGGGAGCCTCTGCTGCCTATGGAAGAGGATGGGAGAAACGTGGGATGGAGATAGCTTATAACCAGGGCACAGCAGCTCCTTCAGAGAGTTCCAGAATAGAAACCTGGGAGCACTGAGTACCCTCGTGCCAGTCCTTTACCTTCATGTCACACGGGGGAAGCCTTGAACCTTCTAGAAGGAATGGTGAGCCTCAGAGAATAACACACAACAGAGGTAGGGGTATCAACAATGAGGAACAGCCCAGGCAGCAGGAATGAAACGGGATGGGGCGGGGACGACAGGAGGACATGTCCCCACGCTGGCCCACGCTGAGGTCACCGGTGGTCCATCCCAGTGGGATCCTCTGAGGAGCCTTGTGAAATAACACTCAGGTGTGTCCCACCTGGGGACAAAACGGGAAAGGCTCTTCCCATCGGCTTCTGCCCGCCATGGGTCAAGAGTGGTCCCCGCAGGGTGCTGCCTCCCTGCTCCTGCTCTTCATCTTACACCCATGTGAACACCGGTGGGTGCACTCGGGCCTCCCACACTATCAAACCCAAGGGCAGGAAGCAGGCTCTGTGCAGAACTGTCCAGTCCTCATGGGAAGCCAGCTAAAAACTAAATGCACAAGCCCGCAGGCATCTTTGACTGAATTTGGAAGTCTTAACCTTCAGCAATCACGAATTCAATCTGACCTCATTTAATGTTGCACATAAATCTTTGCATTTCTATCGGAACCACTGACATTCTCTCATCGTTTCACTTAGCAAGCTTTCATGCAGCACCTACTGAATACCAGCCTACTGAATGCTGAATGTGCTAGGTGCTAGGGACTGGAAAGACAATGATATGGCTCCTTCCCCTGCACAGCTCCCAGGCTAGCGGAGGGAACCAGTGTGTAGACATAGTCTTGCACTTCATTCGGTGGTGCTCTGCACCCTGGGGGTATGGGCTGGGCAGAGCGCACTGCTTGTCTGGATGCTTGCCAGTGTCCCCAGGCTCCCTGTGCGCTGGCCATGGCCCACCCAACTCAGGAAATCATTGAGACTGCACTCACCCATTCACCCGGAGCCCGCACTGGGCTCCCGGCGGAGTGGGGCCCGTACAGATCTCCGCCTCCGCCGCAGCACATCCCTGGTTCTTTGCGCCTCCTGAAAACACCCCTCGTGGCTGCCTTCTTCCTTCTCAGGAGGCGGGCATCTCGGGCCTGGCTGGCTGCCCACCAGACGCCGGCGAGCAGGGGCAGAGCGCCAGGTGCGGGCTGCGGGAGGAGAACGCGCAGCTTCAGGATGTGGTGCGGCAGTTGCGAGCCGAGGTGGAGCAGCACCAGCAGGAAGCGCTGCAGCTTCGCGACCAGCGCAGGTCAGGCTGGGGCCCGTGTTTCCCACCTGTGAGCCACTGAGATCTAAAGTGGGGTCGCCCCTCGGGCTCCTGTGGCTGTGAAGTAATTCAGAGACGTCTCAGCAGGCTGCGGCGCCGGGGCCTCGCTCCCTGGGTTAACAAAACGTGCATGAACTTTTGGAGGGCAGCAGACCCCTGAGGTTCACCTGTGAGCCCCTTAGTGCCCTGCCTGTAGCTTAAGGAAAGTGGTAACCAAGGATTGACCAAGTTCATTGTGGCATGGAGTGCTGTGAAGGTGCATCAGCACACCTCCTCCCTGCGGTAACTAGACACAGGGGTACCACTGTCACCTGCACTTATCAGAGGAAGAGCAGGGAGCAGTTTGCCTGGGGTCACTCTGCTGTGACAAGGCAGCCATGGACGCAGGTGGCCTAGCCCAAAAGGCTGCTCTCCCAGCTGTCCTAGCTTGCCTTTCCACTGGGGCTGGGCTCTCCCAGGTCTCAAGAGTCCAGTCCTTGTAGGCCTCCATAGCTGCCCCCCAGAGCAGGGAGCCTTTCCTGGGCCTCCCTCCTGGGCCAGCCCCCAGCCCTTCCTTACCCTGAAGGCTGCCCTCCTACTCAGCTTTCTCTGTCACAGAGGCTGGGCTGGGTCCCACATGCAGGCTCTATCCTGGACCCCATAGCTCAAGAGCCCAGCTCTCCTTCCCATGGGTGTCTCACCTCAAGTTCATCACCCTTCCTCACCCAGCATTTCCCAAGCCGGGCTATCTATTTGAAGGAGCCCTAAGGCCAAGGGCCCAAAGGGCTCTTCCCTGGAGCCTGGGTGAGCCTGTGTTTCTGTCCTCGGCAGGCTGCTAGAGGAGGAGCAGCAAGCCCAACGGGCCAGGGAGGTGGAGACGCTCCGCCAGGAGCATCGAAAGGAGATGCAGGCCATGGTGGCGGAGTTCAGTGGTGCCCAGGCCCGGCTGCAGGCCCGGCTGGCTGTCCTGGAAGCAGAGTAAGTACAGCCTTGAGCCCAAGGTTGGAGGGGGTGGGAAGAAGAAAGGACTGGCAGATGTACTACTTCTCATCCCAGTGTCCCTGGGCTTCCTCGGTTTTCAAACTGCAGGTCCTGAGTTCTGGGGAGCCCCTGAATCCTGGGCCAACTGGGATGGTTGGCCATCCCTCATTTTATGAGGTTGTGGTCTCCGTGAAAATGAAGAGTCTCGTGGGCATGGTGTAGCCCCACCCTGGGAAGAAACCAGGCTCTGGGCTGTTTTTCTGTGAGCATTTGCCCAGGTGTACAAGTGTCATCTCATGGACCCTTCATACCAGTCCTTCTCGGTGGAAACTGGTATTCCCGCTGGCAGATAAAGTAGGCGAGGGCCCCTCATGCATGCACGTGTGCATTGTTATTCATTCAACAAATATTTGTTAAGGGCCTACGGTGTGCCCTGCACTGATTTGGGCTCTGGAGTTACAGCAAGGAACAAAATACAAACCAAGGTCTCATGGTGGTCACAAATTCTAGGTGAGAATTCATAAAAACTAGACAGGAAAATATTTAATTTCATGGCAGGTGGGGAAGGTAGTAGAGGGGAGACAGGATCCAGGCTATGGAGAGGCAACAAGGGCCTCTTCAAGGAGGTCATATTTGTTTGGGGACTGGTGTTATAGGACCGCGAGTTAAGCTGCCACTTGCAAAATCACTGGGATCCCAAATCGAAGTGTTGATTTGGGTCCCAGCTGCTCGTCTCTGATCCAGCTTCTTGCTAATGTGCCTGGGAGAGCAGGGAGCGAACAGGCCCAAGTACTTGGACTCTTGCCACCCAGGTGGGAGACCATGGTTCAGTTCCTGGCTTTTGGCTTTGGCCTGGCTCTTGGGGCCATTTGAGGAATGAACCAGCATATGGGAAGATGGAATCAATCTCTCTCAGCCTCTCACTCTGTGTCTGTCACTCTACCTTTCAGATAAACAAATCTTAAAAAGATCTGGGGATCAGCATGGAGGTGACTGCAGCATCACAGATCAGACAGAGGAAGCCACTCGCCCAAGATTATGCTGCACTAAATGAATTTCAGTGTCACTCTTTGACCCTTAGCCTGTGCTTTGGTCTTAAAAATCTCCAGTACAAAACAAATCATGCAAAACCTGTAATGAGAGGTTTTGCCAGCTACCATCCAATACCCACATGGACCAGGAGTCCATTACTTCATTAAAATCCTCCCAACCACTCAGGTTCACACTCATTTAAAAGAGGAAACTGAGGTGCCCAGGTGAAATGCTGTACCCAAAGTTACATAGTTAGAAAAACGCAGAGCCACAATTAGAGGCCAGGTTATCCCACCTTTCTCTCTTATCAACTACAGTCAAGAGGGCATGTGCAACCCCACTATCCTTTGGAGAAAGGTGTCTGGTCACCTGCATCCCCCCAGGCTCTGCCAAGAATGGGCTCATGCCGCGCTCTGTGTCTACCAGTAGATGGCACCAGGGCCACCTGGGTATTAGCGCACCTGCTGGCTGCTGATGGGATCCAGGGGTGTCTTCCTGCCCAGGGCTCTACTCCCAGCAGCATGTCTGGCTCTTGCAGGCCGGCTATGTGAGCATTTAGGTATACACATGGGATTCAGCCTCGGGAGGTGGACAAGTCAGACTGGGAGTCAGGGTCCTGGGCTCTGCCGACAACTCACCGGGTGGCCCTGGGCAGTCCTGCTTTCTGGGCACAGGCTGGTGAGACTAAGCATACAGTGGTGTCCTCATCATGTTCACCTACTCTCCCAGCTCCTCATCAGGTAACTGCTACAGGGGGACTAACTGCATGTTGGCTTGCAGACTGAAAGATTCGGGAGAGAAGTCAGGGAAGGGAGCGTCCAGGCCTGAGGACCTCCAGCTCATTGGCCGCCTGCAGACCCGCTTGAAGGAGAAAGAGGAGACCATCAAGCAGCTCACGGTGAGGCCACCCGGGCAGCAGCAGTCTCAGCCCCCAACCTGGCCTGGACCTTGCAGGATTCCTGTGGGATGCGCACTCCCTCTGTACCTACCATTTTTGTGTGTTCCTTAAGATTTTGCCTTACAAAGAATCCTTTGTCTTTTCCTAGCATTAAAAAAACTTTAAAATTAATACAGGAAAATAAATATATATTTATAAATGCATTTATTTATAAATAAATAAATCATTCCACTCCCAAGTCCAACAGCATTTGCCTGATGTTGATATTGGCTCAGCTTTTTAAAGCTACAGAATTTGAGAAAACCTGGAATGTCTTGCCTTATGCTTAAATCTTAAAGGAATCAATCAACTTTTGAAAATTATTGTTGTTGCTTTTCCTTTTGTAAAAATGACCACCTGTTTTCTAGTTAGTGGATCTGCTCCCCAGACTCCTGGTAGAGAACCTATCCCTGCTTTCGTCTGATTTTGTAACCAAGAGCCGCCAAGGCCTGATGCTCCTGTCCTGGGAATGACTGTTTCTCTACCTGCTCCTGCCTGCTCTCTTCCCTTCCCTATCTCCGTAAACTCTGATCCCCAACTGAATGACATTAGATACTAGATAATTAGGTGATAATAATAAAGAGTCATTGTGCATTTGCTATGTGTGGCAAAGGTATTGTGATTACTTAAAAAAACGTTATCTCTTAAAATTACTTATTGGTATTTTTACAGAAAAAGATTAAACAGTGACAGGGATCTGCTTTAAAAGTGAGATATCAGGGGTGGGTACTATGGTACAGCAGGTTAAGCTGCTGCTTGGGATGCCTAATTCCCATATTGGAGTGCCTAGTTCAAGTCCTGGCTACTCTGCTTCTGATCCAGCTTCCTGCTAATGCAACCTGGGAGGCAGCAGATGATGACTCAAGTGCTTGTGCCCCTGCTAACCCATGTGAGAGATCCTAATAGAATTCTAGGCTCTTGCCTATTGCCTAGCTGTCAGAGGCATTTGGGTAGTGAACCAACAGATGGAAGATCTCTGTCTTTCTCTCTCTCTCTCATAAAAGATTTACTTATTTGAAAGGCAGAGTTACAGAGAAAGAGGGAAGGAAAGAGAGGGAGAGAAGGAAAGAGCAAAAGGATCTTCCATCTACTGGTTCACTCTCCAAATGTCCACAACAACCAGGGCTGGGCCAAGCTGAAGCCAGTAGCTTCCTCCCAGTCTCCCATATGGGTGCAGGGTTGGGGGGCAAGCACTTGGGCCATCCTCCACTGCTTTCCCAGGCACATTAACAGAGAGCTGAATTGGAAGTAGAGCAGCCGGGACTTGAACCAGCACCCACTACAGGCGGCGGTCTAACCTACTATGCCATAACACTGGCCCCATGTCTCTCTTTTTGATTTTCAGATAAATGGAAATACATAAACATGTTAAAAAATAAAAAATAATATATCAGGAGGGAAAAACAGTGGATGATTATACACATAAACAAGACTGGCCATATAGTTATGAGATGGATTAATTTGTATGTGTATTAGAAGATATCTCTGAATCAGATGTAAAACAGAAGAAAGGTAGGGAGGAAGGTGAAATCCTTTTACTCCCTGGAGTTTTTCTCTCTTTGCTATACTTAACTTTCTGCAGTAGGTTCTTATCCTCAGCTAAGAATACTTGGATGTCTTACTTCCCAAGGCATAAGCTTGCCCTTTCTTTTACAAGAAGGGCTGGGGACACAAGGACCCCCATGGGTAAAGGTGCTTCCTCACAGGTTCAGTGGCTGCAGCTTGATTCCCACTGACTGCTTCTCCCTCCCCTGGCCTTCCCCTCTCTCTGTATTCTGCCCTCACAGCCATTTTGCTTCAAACCAAACGCAGGCTCATGAAGATTCACTTGTATTGTTTTCCAGGAAGAGAGAAGATTCTACTGTGCAGCATTTCCCAGCACAATGTCTCATCGGAATCGGTCCTTTTCTTTTAATCCTCACCCGGGATATTTGACCCCTTCCATGAAGGTAAACTGATTCTACTGCTTTCAATGCGATACTCAGTTCTGTCAATTTTGTTTCCTTAAAGGTAACTCCAGCTTGTTAATGGGCTAGTGTACATTCAGGGGAATATTCACTAGAAAAAAGATCCACAGGGGCCGGCGCCGCGGCTCAACAGGCTAATCCTCCGCCTTGTGGCGCCGGCACACTGGGTTCTAGTCCTGGTCGGGGTGCCGGATTCTGTACCAGTTGCCCCTCTTCCAGGCCAGCTCTCTGCTGTGGCCAGGGAGTGCAGTGGAGGATGGCCCAAGTACTTGGGCCCTGCACCCCATGGGAGACCAGGATAAGTACCTGGCTCCTGCCATCGGATCAGCACGGTGCGCCAGCTGCAGTACGCCAGCCATTGGAGGGTGAACCAACGGCAAAGGAAGACCTTTCTCTCTGTCTCTCTCTCTCACTGTCCACTCTGCCTGTCAAAAAAAAAAAAAAAAAAATCCACAGGAAATAGTTGAAAGAATTGACAAACAGTCTTTATATCTGGCCGGGCAGATTCTATGTGAGTTTCTTAATGGGCTTTTGTAATTTCCAGATTTTCTACAATAAATATGTGTCCATACTAATAACAGCTCTATCTGGTGATCAGAAGGAGAGGGAACAAAGTAGGAATCGTGTACTTCTTAACTTTATTTCTACACCTGCTTTTGGAATTTGTTATAATGAGCATATTCACATCCAAGTCTGTTATCTACTATCACAAAAATCCTGAGTTCAAAAATATTAACATTTTTAATCGCTCACAGAACCTTAAACCTAAACTGAACTGATGTGATTTCATTTATTAGTTTTATGTCTCCCTCTTAGGGTGACAAAATATAATTTAAAATGTTTGTGAAAAAAATGGAATTGAAAGGTAAGTTTATTTTAAAGTAAAAATTCAAAAATCTATCTATAATTTATTCTTTGTATATGTTTTTCATGAGCTTCTTGAAGAAACCCTCACATACATGCATATCAAAGTTTTTTGTGTCAAAACAAATTTTTCTCTTAATTCCATTTTCTATGAGATTTTGGAAGCTCCCTTATGTAAGTTTCACTCCAGAATTACTAACGCATTTGAAGACAGGGTGCACCCAGGATCTACAAAGGATGACACATGCCTTCTAAAAAGTCTAAGAAAATTTTGAATTACAAAATATGTCATTTCCAGAAGTTTTGGATAGGAAATTGTGGTCCTGTATGTTTTTCAAAACATGATTATAACACATGGGCAGAATAGTGGTAATTTGCATGTAAGTAAATTACCACACAATGAATGCCCTGTGTGTCCACTCTGCAAGTCAAAAGATAAGACACTGCCAACACCCAGGAAGTTGTGATTTACCTTTGTCTTAATCCTTACCACCTCCTTCCCTCACTTCAGAGGGTAACTTTACTTTCAGCACTTCCATTCAGTTTTAAGTGCTTTTGAACTTCGTATAAATGGAATCATACATGTTTTCTCGTCAGATTTGCTTAGTGTTGTTTTGTGATTCATTCATGTTATTGCATATAACTATATTTCAGGTAGTTTGCTTGCAATGTACTGTGAAATGCAGACATAGTGTATGAATAGACTATATATTCATTGTAGCATTAATAAAATGTTTTTTTCTCCAGCTTCTGCTTATTGCAAATAAAGCGGAACATCTCAGTATAAACAAACAAAAAACCACGATTAGAGGGGAAATGGTACTAAAAATGACATGCAAATATGTAAATAAGATTGTTGTCTCTCCTAGGTAATTTTGCTGGCTGGGCCTCAGGTAGTTTCATAGTAATGTCTTTTGGGGGGCAACACTGACCTTTCCTTCCATACAGAAGAAGAGGATGGAGGAAGTGCCCAGCCGCGTGGTCAGCGTGCCAAACCTCGCCTCCTATGCAAAGAACTTTCTGAGTGGAGATCTGAGTTCCAGAATCAGTGCCCCTCCGATAACTAAGTCACCCAGCTTGGACCCAAGCCCCAGCTGTGGCCGGCCTTACAAGCCCACTCCGCCTCTAGAGGCGAAAACTGCTACAAGGTGAGTGGGGAGCAGTTACCCCCTTTCTCCAGAGAGGAGGGAAACATGCATCCTTTCTGTCACCTGCCTAGACACTCAGCATTTAGGCAGATACAAAGATTAACAGAACAAGCCTGCCTTGGAGAAATGACAACCCAGCCTAGAGAGGAAACTGTTAAAACAAGGGAATTATATCATTTTTTGGAGGATTTTGGAAGAGGTACTATTTCTGGCACCAAATTCCAGAGGGCCTTGTTTCGAACAGATAGAAAAGGGACACCGAATCGCTTGGCTGTAAACTTCAGTGTGGGCTACAAAGGAAGCAGACTCTCTTCATTTGCTCTTGGGGTCCGGATTTAAATTCCAGTCCTCGTGGTTCTTAGCTGTGCAGCTTGGGACAGGCCACTAGACCTTGCTGGGACTCCATATCCTCATCTCTAAAATGCTGATAATATACACCTGCCTCATCAGGCTAAAGGGATTAATCCACAAGGCTTACTTAACACAAGTAGTCCTAAATAAACCTAACCCCTTTGCTTCAAAGCATTGGAAACATAGGCATGGAACAGCAAGCATACCCATTTTAACTGCCACAGCCAGCTCCAGACTGTGGCCATGGGTTCATTTCATTATGATGTGACTCTGTATAAAGCCATTGGCTCACTGTATCATATGAAGCTTCACAAATGCAGATAGTGTTCAGCCAGGTGTGTATGCTACAGTTCGAGCAATGTTTTAAAAAGTTTCAGATTTTGATACATTTTGGATTTCCAGATTAGAAATGCTCGATGAATAAAGTTTATACAAATATTCCAAAATCCAAAACACTGAAACCTGAAAAACTTCTGGTCTCAAGCATTTCAGATGACGGATGTTCAACCTGTGCCTTGTTGCCTCCTGTTTCTCTCGTTCAAGGTGTATTTCATGGCTTCACTGAGATACTGTAATACATAACAGGTGATGTGTTATAAGGTATATGTTATAAAGCTGGGTTAATTAAACATTTCTTTCTTGTACCTTTTAGACCCTCCCTCCCACCCTCATTCTTTGTAACTTGTTCCCGGCTACAAACACTAGCTGTCAGGGTCTCATATCTTCCACTTCCCAGGTCAGGCGTATTGAAGGTGATACGGCCACAGATGTCAGAGAGGTTCTGAATCTTTTGAAGAGTAAAGGAGCAAAGGAGCAGTTATCTCCCCCTGAAAAGATGGTAGGGTTCATTGAATATTTTCAAAACCATACGAGAAATCTTTTTTTTTTTTTTTGGTTTGTTTTAGGACACAAGATGGTGAAACAGCCCAACCCAAAGACGCACAGCAGAAACCAGGCCCTCCGCACCAGGAGTGGTTCACTAAGTACTTCTCTTTCTAAACCAATCTTTGGGATACATCACAAGGACATTAGATTTCTTCTGCAATGTCTGATCAAAGGAATGAAAAAACCAAATAACTTGCTTGTAATATGATTTATATATGATACATTTCATGGTGACTCCAATTCATTTAAAAAAAAAAGACATTAGATAAAACCAACCAGTGTTACGGAAAAGCAGCAATAGGACAATGTTATGAATGTCACTAATGACCTACACAGTGTATTTCTAGTGTCCATAACATCATAATCCACTTTGATGGGTATCACTTTGTGATTTCCATGGTCTGCTTTACAAGTGGTTTCATTTTTCCTTAGGATGCCAGTCACTGCCACTGGAAGAGTTGTTTCTAAATTAAATGATGTTAATTCCAAAATGCACATCTAACCTCAAAAGGAACAGGAATAAAACAAAGCTCAAAATAAACTGCAAAGCTATTTAGAAAACAACAAACCTACTAAAAGTGAACTGTGGTACACTTGAAGTGAGCACTCTTGACTTCCTAGGTTTAAGACAGCAGCCAACAATAGAGGGCAGAACACCTACCTCAAAAGGAGCTTTGTAACAATTTAACAAGACAATATGGTTAAGATACCAACATGGGTTGGAATCTTCTGGGAACAGTCAGGCCTTGTCCCACCAGGCATCTCAATTTCTGTGACTGTAGCACCAACTTGGTCATTTGAAAATTTCTAGACTGTTCTTTGAAGTCAAAGATCCACTGAGCATCTGGTCTTTTGGTCTGGGCCATTTGTGTTGCTTTCCCACTGCACAGGCTTAGTGGAGTAGAAGGAAATGGAAATGACTGTTCAAGGTGCTGACCCTGATCTCGGCCCATCTTCTGACCGGCAGAGTGACTTGATAACACCCAATACAACTTGTAGTGGGCAAAATATTTCTCAGTCCTTTGGTGCTGGCCCAACAAGTGGCCCATTAACAGATGTTCATTCTATGCTCTTTGCTCTTTGAATAAAACTAACAACTGGAAAACAAAGATGGCTGTGACCAGTGTTGTTTTCCCATAGAAAGGCAAAACAAATGAAGAAAGAGTAATTGTGTTTTTTTTAAAAGCACTCATTTTAGCCAGGCAGTTTGGTACTTTATAGGTGGCACAGTGACCATGCTTTGGGCTTTTGTCTGTTGGCTTTTCTGTGTGTGCTTAGATGAAATTAATGAAGAGGCTTGTTTTGTCTATCATGGCCTCACAGCAATGCTAAGGCTGGCATTTACAGTTCATGTACAAGATTAACATGGCTAAATGACGTTAGGTCAGCTTCTGGATGTCAGGTACAGGTGTCTCCCACTCCCATCCTTTGCAGGGCAAACACATGTGTAAGAGAAAGCTGAGAGGAAGTAGAAGACATGAAGAGACTTTGGACTATGATGCAGGTTTGACAACTGTGAAAGGCAGGCCAAGGAAAATTGGGGGAGGAGGGTCAGATGGCAGAGAGCTCTGAGGTTTTGGCCAGGTACATGGGAGCCCCAGTGCCAACTGCCCATTAGAGGGGCCCATGCAGGGAAGGAATGCCCTGGGTCCACCACCACTGCTGGACTTAACTGGAGCAACCAGAAGGGGAGAGGAGTTGAAGACTGTGAAGGGGGCGGTGGGCAGGGGCGCTGAGAAAGGAGATGGCAGCTCAAGATCAAGGGAAACGCATTAGATGGAAGGACAGGACTGTTCTAAGCTGCAGGGTACGATCCAGCAGAAGGATGATGAGAGAGGAGGAATCACCTAAGGCAGGAAAGCCCTGGAGAATGCACCTGGCCTGAAGCCCAGAACAAAAACAGGTTTTATGCAGGGTAGGCACTTCAGCAAATGAACAGCAAAGGAAGGAAAAAGCTGCTCTGAAGATGTGGACAGACTTATCCAAGGTGAGTAGGACGTTAAGGGAGACCCCAGAGGACACCAGTAAAATCATTTATTTATTCACTCATGCATTCATTTATTTTTATTTGAAAGGGCTGCACCAGGCTGAAGCCAGGAGCAGAAAAGTCAACCCAGGTCTCCCAGTGGGCAGCAGGGATCTAACCACTCAAGTTGTCACCTGCTGCCTCCCAAAGCAGAAAAAACCAGAAAGCAGGAATAAGGCGTGAAGCCAGGACCTGAACCCGGGCATTTCCCCAGGCAGTGTCCTAACAGCTACAGCAAGCGCTAGCTCCCACTGAAACACTTTGTGACAGACCTCAGAATGCTTCCTGTGCTCATCAAGCAGGATATCCTTAAGAAGAAAAAGATGTTTACAAACTGACAACATGGAAAAACTGCTATTTATTTAAAAGAAAACTTTTCAATACAATACAGAAATGGCAATATAATAAAGAAGTGGCAATAACTGGCACATACATTAGTTCAAAGTATTTTCACTAAGCACCAACCAGCATCATTCTCAAATCTTTTCATGAGGAGCACCTTTATTACTAAGGACTAATACTTTAAGTTTTTAATCAAGAAGTTTAAAGCTGCCAATCAGAGTTCCTAATTAGCTTTGAGATGACCAGGTTAACCCTCTTAGAGTGTAAGCAAAAATGACTTGTAAAAGCTGTGTTTATAACTGAAGGGATTCACTGGCTTCAGCTGGGTATCAGAGCCAAGGGCTAAACATCGCACACACCAGAAAACTAAGTAGTGAGTATCATGTGTCAATGATAAATCATACATGGGACTAATACCTAACTCCAACAGGTCTTCAAGGATCGACCCACAGACACTGATTCAACCTTAACCTCCCAGAGTGAAGCGGGCAAGGGCAAGGGAAGAGGTCAAAGTCCTGCGCCCTAGGCTGCAGGAAAGGGCCCCAGGGCCAGGTGGGAAACCAGTGAGCATTCAAAGCCAGGGAGAACAAAACAGCTAAGACTCAGCCCAGAAGACAGCGCAGTCTACGTTTGGGAGGAGGGACACAACCACTAAGAGATTCTATACATCAGGGAAAGGAAAAGCCCATTCAACAAGAGGGGAAAATGTCTCCCTAGCACAGAGGCTCCACAGCTCTTTGGGGAGGCTCAGAGGCTGAGGATCACCCTGGGGCCCAGCCCTCAGTCCTAAGTCCCATCCCCTTAAAATTAAATTCACAAGCAAAAAGCTTTCTAGAAACTGTCTTTGCTCCAAAAAAGTAAAACACGAACACAGCAAACAAAACTCAAACTAAACGACTATCAGAGTAAGCTTTAACCCCTGCTACTTCCCCTGCAAGAACAGGATCCGCCGTTATCTCCACTGACTTCTGCAGAGCTTGTCAAAACCCAGCATCTCACTGCTCCTGCTACATCCTCTCCCAATGAAAGTATGCACCACACTAAACACAAACACACCCCACATAAAAGCCAGAGTGAACTTAAGGACCCCTGGAATATTACAACCCTAACCTAGGGTATTTAATCCTCTTCTGACCTATTTACAAAATACCAACTTCTGTAACACTCCGGAAGCATTGCAGACTTGGTTGCATTAGATTCCTCTTTTTGAGGTAGTTCAAAGTCTGAACACAATTTAGATATGTTTCTAAATTGCCTGAGGAGAAATTATCCTAAAAGGCCTAAGCAAAACCCCTTTCCCCTGATTCTCAGACTACAGTAATTCTTTTTCTCAGATCACATAAACTAACTTAACAAATGTAAAGAGGATGAAAAGTCATACAAAAAATACAAAAAAAAAAAATCGTTAAGAGTCTGCAGTGTCATCACACTGTCTCAACTTTGCACAAGACAAAAATAAAAGTACTTTCCTAAGCTACAGCCTTTTTATAAAGTATGCAAGAAATTAACAATTTATAAAAATAGGGGGAAGTTTTAATTGGGAGCATAAAACCAGAATTATCTCATTCTCTGGCAAAGAGTGCTTCCCAATTCCAAGTCCAAAGGTGGACCGAGAGGCAGAACTGTCTGTCCAAGGCTGCCTCAGGTCTGCTTCAGAGGGGCAGGGATATTAGCAGACGCCTGCTCCAGGTAGGCCAACGAGCCCTGGGGGATCTCGGCTGGCTTTTTGTGCTGCACGTTGATGTCCTCCAGCACCTGCTGCCAATGCCTCAGCTTGGTCAAGTGCTTCTGCACCAGCGCATCCTTCCGCTGCAGTTCATTCCTCAGTTCTGAGACATCCTACAGATCAAAATGATGGAGTCAGAGCACATTCAGGAAAAATGGATGTCGTTCCCAGTAAATTAACAACAGTAAGAAGTAAATCCAAAACCAAGAGAATCCATTAAGCAATACTGAGCCCATTACTCTGCTTGGCGCCACTACTTGAATTAACTCAAAGCACAATTCTTCCAATGGAAGCCATCTGCCTACTCAGAGTTTTTATCTGTAATGACTTTTCTTTCAGTAGTTACACAAGTCACAAAATACAAAAAGCACCAATGGGCAGCCAAAAAGACACCAGTCGTCTTCTCACCCTGGCCCTGCCAACCAGGATCTCTGTCCAAAGGCTACTGCTGAGAATCTAAAATAAGAAGCTAAAGATGCTGATTGTTCCAGTGGGATCCCTGCTGCCACTCTCTTAGGTCAGACTATGATCTGCCCTAGAGCCCACTGCACTGCTATTCAAAGGTGCACTTCAGGAAACGAATCAGAACAAAAGACTATAATGGTCTTCTTACCATTCGCCCCTCAACAACTGGCATCATGAATAAAATGCACCTTTTAGATTAACTGATGAGCTTATGGGAGCAGTCACTTCAAAAACTGCAAAAGACAATCATCTCAATGCGTTTCTCCCTGGGGCCCAGTGGCCTCTGGGGCAGGACAATTCTCCATTTCTCCATCCTGAGGGGCAGGTTCTGTTCAGCAACCTCAACTCACTTCCAGATGCCCTAGTTTCAGACAACCGAGATAAATGATATACTGAGTTTCAAGGAGCCTCTGTTAAGAATTCTCTATTTTTTCATTTGTTTAACAGAATCAAGCAGAACCCTTCTTTTGGGTAAGGCAACTAGGGACCAAGGTCACAGGTTCCTGTCCAAAACCACCTACATTAATAGCTTTTTTATTTCTTCATGCAGAACTTCCCCTTTAAGAAAAATCTGCCATGAAAGCCACTAATAAGCAGAGCTGCTTGTTTGAAGGAATGCTTCTCACTCCCTACTCCCTGGTCAGGCTGTCATGGACACTGACAACATTTTATGCTCCTCTATAAAGCCCTGCTGAAACTCACAGCAAAAGAGTCTATCTCATTTAAAGCATAAATAGAATCCTGATGTTTCCTCTTTCTAAAAGTTAAGGAGAGGGGCCGGTGTTGTGGTGTAGCAGGTAAAGCTACCGCCTGTAATGCCGGCATCCCACATGGGCATGGGTTCATGCCCTGGCTGCTCTACTTCTGATCCAGCTCCCTGCTAATGACCTGGGAAAAACAGTGGAAGATGGCCCAAGTTCTTGAATCCCTGCTACACATGCAAGAGCCCTGGAAGAAACTCCTGGCTCCGGACTGGCCCAGACCTGGCCTTTGTGGCCACCAGGGGAGCAAATCCGTGGATGAAGATCTGTCTCTCCCTCTAACTCTGACTTCCGAATAAATAAATAAAATAGTTAAGAAATGAGTTTGTACCTCTTTGATAACTTGATCTGGCTTCTGAACAGACAACTGCAATCTTTTTTGCAGGAAAAAACATTCTGTTTGTCTTGCAATATCTAGAAACTTCTGGATACACTGATCAACACCTAAAAAAAAAGACCAAAATATTAAAAAAAAAAAAAACACACTAGACACACTTAAGACACATCTACAACCTCTCTCATAACAGGTCAGAATACCAAGAGTGCATTCTCATGGATGTGATCTGTGGTTTTAATCTAGGCTGCAGCAGTAATGACTCCCAAGTTCCCAGACGGTCACCACCAATGAACAGATAACTGGAGCTTTTAGCAGGTGAAAATGAGACCTCAATAGCTGAAAACCACCGATTTTCTGAGGAGAGACAATCCAGAGGTTCAGCAGTTAGCACTGTGATTTCTAGTTCAAATGGAACTCTAAATACAAAACAAGAAGTCAGTTCTGGTTACCTCTGGGGACAGAAACTGGGGACAAAGGAGGAAGCAGGGCAGACTTTTAGACTGTTCTCTGTGACACATGTGTAATAATAAAAACAAAATGTGTGTGTTTGTGTGTGTGTGTGTGTACATGTGTTAAAGTAGCACACACTATTGGTCTTTTTATCTAGTACCAGCATGAAAATTTCATTGTAAGTGGTTCCTTATGAGTGACATAAGATATCAATTAATAAACTAAACAAAGAAATAACCAGCAGTTTAAAGAAAGTACTTGCATAGGATTTATTCCCTGAAAATGTTCTCTCAGAATACAAGCAGGACTGAAAGACAGTATAAATTAAGTTTAACATTAGCCTTCAAAGGGCCAACGTTGTTGCATAACAGGTTAAGCCACCACCTGCAATCCAGGTATCCAAATGGATGCCAATTCAAGTCCCAGCTGCTCTACTTGCAATCCAGCTCCCTAAGGCACCCAGGAAAGCAGTGAAAGATGGCCCATATGCTTGGGCCCCTGCCACCCACGTGAGAGATCCAGAAGAAGCTCCGGGCTCCTGGTTCTGGACTGGCCCAGCCTCAGCCATTCAGACCATCTGGGGAGTGATCCAGAGGATCACCTCTCTCTGTGTTAACTAAATAAAGTAAATCTTAAAACAAAACAAAACAAACAAACAAAAAAACCCTAAAAGATCCTGCTGAAGGCAAGATTATTGAAAGATTCTTACCAGTTCGAATTTCTTCCTGATCGGTGCCATTGACATAGTCCTGACTCACCAGAGAAGCAAAACAAGCCTATATAATAAAAACATAACAAAATAAAAAAATATCATTTAAATACATCAAAAATCTTACTTCAGAAATAACTTCTTGTGGAAGTCACGAGATGACGGCCTCCAGGTTTACACGTGACAAGATGTACACATGCTTAGAAAGCTGCTTGATAACTAAGTCCCAGCTGGGCCTATGGTTGCAGACAGGCAGCTGATCTTTGCTGGCACATCTGGTCTCAGACCACCCATCCCTTTAGCTCGCTGAACACCAGCCCCATCTCTCAATGCTCACATATCACTTCCTTAGAGGCTGTCCCTGTCTCCATTTTCTAAATGGCACCCTCCTCCTGCTCATGTTCCACTCTCAAGCCTGGCTTTGGTGCTGTGCACACAATCAACTGCGCGGAAAATTCTACTTTCAGTTTCACCACTTGATTTACAGAGAAGACTAGGGAAATACTGGTCATTGCTCAGCAAATCAGAAAAATAAATGGTATACTCTATGTATTACTTTTTTTTTTAAGATTTTATTTATTTATTTGAGAAGTAGAATTACAGTCAGTGAGAGGGAGAGACAGAAAGGTCTTCCATCCGCTGATTCACTCCCCAAATGGCCGCCACTACGCCTGGAACTGGGCCAATCCGAAGCCAAGAGATGCTTCTGGGTTTCCCAACATGGGTGCAGGGGCCCAAGCGCTTGGGCCATTTTCTACTGCTTTCCCAGGCCATAGTAGCCAGCTGGACCAGAAGAGAAGCAGGCAGGACCTGAACCAGCACCCAAATGGGATGCTGGCTTCGCAGGCGGAGGATTACCCTACTGTGCCACAGCGCCGGCCTCTGTACTGTGGTCTTAATGTCTTCAGAATATTCTAATGGCTATAATAAGTTTTCCCAAATTGAACATTTATTTCCAATGGGGAATTCTGTAGGCTAGAATACTAGCAAGAGAATTGGCTGGGTCAGGGAAGCACCTGGGCTTTTGTTTTCCATCTGTTTTCAGATGTTGGGCCCTAGGAGGAATGGTGGGCAGGACGAGGTACGCCCCCAGGGCCTCCTCGCTTTTCCCACCTACTGCAATCTTCCATCTGTGTGTCCCTCTCTGCGCACAGTCTGGTAGTCGCCACCACGCACACAACGGAAACAGTGCCTACCAGTCCTTCGGCTCGCATCCCCCTCCCGGTAGTCTCTATGTATTACTTTGAAAGTTAATCCCGGAGGCCAGTGCTGCAGCATAGCAGGTAAAGCCACTGCCTGCAGTGCTGGCATCCTGTATGGGCACCAGTTTGAGTCCCAGCTACTCCGCTTCCAATCCAGCTCTCTGCTATGGTCTGGGAAAGTAGTAAAAGATGGCCCCAGTGCTTGAGCCCCTGCACCCACATGGGAGACCTGGAAGCTCCTGGCTCCTGGCTTTGGATTGGCACAGCTCCGGCCACTGCAGCCAATTGGGGGGTGAAGCAGTGGATGGAAGATCTCTCCCTCTAACTCTGCCTTTCAAATCAATCAATCAACCTTTTAAAAAAAAAGCGAGTTAATTCCTATTGGACGTGGGATGTGAGCAGCATGTACCTTCTTCATGAAACCTATGGTTAACGGAAAACCTCCCATCCAGAGGGCCAACTAAGTCACAAACTGTCTCACAAAGCTGGGCTGGTCCCTCAGGGGTGGCTGGGCCCCAAACAGAGTGGGATTGAAATCTGACCTCATGAATTTAGTACCTTCTTCTCCCCTCTTAAAAACTATACACACACACACATATCTCATATATATACATACACATATACATTTATGATTACACAGATTTCCATTGACAGCTTTAGAAAATGTATAATACAAAAGTATGCTTTTTAGAAATTCCCTAGGACAGAACCTTTGCATGGAAAGCCAGGAGGCCTACGTGCTAATTCTCATTCCCACAAACCCAATTTGGGAGGCTGTTTCCTTGCCCTCTCTGAACCTCAGCTTCTCCATCTATAAAAGGAGGGGATGGGAGTAGGTGGCCACCAAAGCTCCCTTCCACATCAAGAGTGAACGACCTCAACTCCTTCCACCAAAGAGCCTATATATATACATATATATACACACACACACTTATATATATAAAAATTCCCTACCATCACGGACGTCAAAGGGTCGCACCCAGATAGAAATGAGAAGCAGGTGCCCTGAGCCACGAGCGGTCCACACAGAAAACGGCGGAGGAAACAGGAAAAGTCTCACAGGAAATGAGGCCTTGAAATCGAGTCTCGAGAGAACCCCAGCGCCCCCCAAGAGTGAACTTGAGCGGAGAGGCTGAGGCGGTGAAACCTGCGCTCCACAGAAAATGCGCCCCCTGCTAAACACGCGGGGACCCGGGAAGGGTCCCGCGGTCGGGAGGGCAAGCAAACCTCGAGAGCACGTCTCTCCACAGAAACGTCGAATCCGCACGCTTCCGCCACCACTCAACGAGGAGCCTGAAGCAAGGGACGTACGTTCTCCAAGCCTCGGTTTCCCCACTTGTTAAGTGGCACTGGCAGCGCTGGAGAACTGGCGCAAGCGCAGTTCACGTGGCAGGGAAGCGGGGAGGGCTGGGGAGAGACTTCTAAGTCTCATTTTACCTCGAATGATGATTCCAACTCGTCCACCAAGGTACTGTTAGAACTTCTCGGAGCTCCTGGCGCTGCCTGAAGAAGCGAAGCCTGGCCCGGGAGTCCAGACCCTGGTGGCGGGGGCCCCGGTGGCTGCCCGGAGAACATGCCGCCCAGCGGAGTCGCCATGTTTGGAATGGCGCGGAAAAGCCCACTGCGCCTGCGCGAGAGCCGGGCTACGGGTCACGTGACAGCCGAGCCCGGCGACGAGACAGGGCGGGCGCTGAGGGGCGTGTTTGTTTTGGAAGCTGCCTAGGCTTTTCCTCTTGTTGAAGGCTCTGACTGAACGTGACACAGTTCTGTGGAGGGGAGCGTTGATGACCTTTTTGGAGCGAGCCCTCCCGTCAGAGTTGGAAGCCGCTGGACCCGACTCAAACCCGCAGGCTTAGCCCGAGTCGCTTTTTCTCTCCGGGCTCAGCTGACCCGTTAGTGAACGCCACACGTACTGAGGGAGTGCCGTGTACCGAATGCTGGCTGTCGCGGGGACTCCCCGTTAGACTTCGGTGTGGAGCCGAGTGGGGTCGCTGCGCGACTGGAGTGCAAATGTAACTAGGAGCGCTTGAAGAAGGTCCCGCTTAGCAGAGTAAGCAAACCCGGCGGCGGCCCACGGGGCCAGAGGAGTGAGCCAGCCGCAGCGGTCAGAGAACCCACAGGACCTTCCTTTCCGCGATCCCAGCCTCAGTCTAACACCCTCGCTCCCACTTCAATTTCTTCTCTACAGCGTATGAACAACTGGGATGCAGGCGCCATTCTGTAGTGCCTAGCTGTCTCACCGCTATCCCCATCATGCAAAATGACCTGGCATTGATAGACACGGTCAGGACATGGTGATTGAAAGAACCAAAAGAGAATTCCAGGAGGGGCTAGTCTGCTCCAGCAGTTCTCAAACTGTTTAGGTCTCAAGACCCATTTGCACTCCCAAGAATTATTGAGCACCCAAGTTTTTGTTTATGTGGGCTGTATCTAATATTTACCTATTAATATGAACCGGAAGAGTTCAATTCATGAAAAATAATAAACTTACATGTTAATATTTGTATTAAAACTGTAACTTTGGGGCTGGTGTTCTGGCAAAGTGGGTTAAGCTGAGTCCTGGCTGTTTGCTTCCAATCCAGCTTGCTACTAATGTGCCTGGGCAAGCAGCAGGAGATGGCCCAAGTCCTTGGGTCCCTGCCATCCAAGTGGGAGACATGATGGAGTTCCAGGCTCCTGGCATGGGCCTGTTTCAGCCCCAGCAGTTGCAGGCATTTGAGGAGTGAACCAGCAGATTGGAAATTCACTCTGTCTCTCCATCTCTGTCACTTTGCCTTTCAAATAAGTTTTTAAAAAAGTATATATTTTCCAAAAAAAACCCACAAATATATGAATGTGAAAAGTAGCATCATTTTATTTCAGTCTACCTAAGTACTTTTTAAGTTACTTGAGAGTGGTCAGTGAAATTTCTTTCTTTCTTTCTTTCTTTTTGACAAGGCAGAGTTAGAGAGAGAGACACAGAAAGAAAGGTCTTCCCTCCATTGGTTCACCCCCAAAATGGCCGCTGCGGCCAGCACTTTACCGATCCAAAGCCAGAAGCCAGGTGCTTCCTCCTGGTCTCCCGTGCTGGTGTGTGGTGGAATGAAAAGGCCATGCCAAGCTGGCCACTGGCAAGCTAGCGTCAGTTACTCAGGAATGGCTTTGAAACCCACCTGGCAACAGAGCCTGCCTGGCAGCGACTGTGATTGGATGGATTTGAAACTGCCTGGCAATAGGGTGTGACTGGATGGATTTGAAACTGCCTGGCAACAGGCTGTGATTGGTTGGGGCATAAACTGCCCCTTGACCAGATTGGCTGGTCTTAGCTATATAAGATGTTGTTCCAACTGTAATAAATGAGTCTGCGGGCTGCTAGCCTCAGGCCTGCTTTCACCTGACTCCCGGAGTCCGTGTGGTGACTCTGCACCTCTTGCCCCCATCATGCTCCTCTTCTCGTAAACGAATCCACTGCAACATTGTTGAGAAACCAACTGCAACATGGGTGCAGGGCCCCAGCACTTGGGCCATCCTCCACTGCCTTCCCTGGCCACACAGAAAGCTGGATTGGAAGAGGAGCAACCGGGACAGAACCTGGCACCCCAACCAGGACTAGAACCCAGGGTACTGGTGCCACAGGCGGAGGATTAGCCTAGTGAGCTGCAGCACCAGCCTGGTCAGTGAAATTTCTCATGGATTCATCCCAGAGTAGAGCTTTTCATTTGGCTGAAAACCTGAATCTTCATAAAATGGAAGAACACTGCATTGGAAAGGTTACCAGGAATGAGATAATGTATGTAGGAGTCTAAAGTGCCTGCAATAGATTAACTTGTGGAACAAGAAGTGACATATGTGACTTATATTTTTAAAAAATTCTCCATTCATGTGGATAAAAAGAAAGAATGGTGGTATGGAGACCACCAAAGCAGTGATCTAGTATAGAGAGAAAGGATGGTTACTGGAGGGCAATGCAGTCAAGTGAACTCCACGATTTTTCTCAGAATAATAGGTTGGGAGTGGAATAAATGCATAAGGTAATTTGTTGAACTGACTTTTCTGTAGACAGAGTTTAGGCTAACATTTTTCTAGGATTGTGATACAAGGGAGGAACCCACACCTCAAAGGTGGCAGAGGTACAGGCTGTAGAGTGTGTATGACCAGCTGCAAAAGAAGGACCCTAAAGAAATGGTCAGATCAGTACTGTCTGAGCTACCACTAAGTGACAGAACGTGTTTTTAAAACTCTTCTCCCAACCTTAACTTTTGAATTACTTAAGGGCAGGGACATCTTTTTGTACTTCGCCATCCCCAAGCACCTTCCACAATGTCTGGCACACTGGTAGGCATGCAGTGTTGCTGAATCCGTATTTTTCTCCAAAATAGAAAAGATTTCTTTGTGATGTGGGATAGCATCTTTGGATTTACTCTGCAGTAATCCCAAAATCTCCAACTGCCAAGCATTCCAAGATTTCATCAAGTTCATCTTCCATCCCACTGTCTCCTTTTTCATCTATCCATCCAGTATTGGCATCCGACAGAGGTTTGAATCATGTGTATATATGAGCAGAAATAAAAGCAGGAGGTATAGTGCCCGTCTTCAGAGCACTTAAAATGTGCATTATCCATTTATTGTCAGGGCTTACAGACTGCATTATATTCTTGAGTTTCTTGAGCTCAAGGCCATATGTTGGAATACAAAGATGCTGGACTTCATAGTTGTTGGTCTGGATTCTAAACCCTGTTCTGCTTTCATGCTCATCAACTGTCTCCTTTCCTCTCTTCCTATTGGGGTGACAATGCACCCAGCTAATCTGCATTCCCCAAATCCAGTGCAGTAGACATGGCTTACTCTGGTTGATGGTAAGAGTACCGCAAATATGGGACTTCAGTCAAAAGTCCTTAAATACATTCATCTGTGATTATATTCTGCTTGCCCTGCTCCTTTCATTTTGGATTTGTTGCTCTCCACAGCATACTTAGTCCTAGTTAGTACAAATAAGGGTATAAAGTGTGGTTCTGAGGACCACAAGGGTTTGTAAAATACCTGGTGGGTAGTTGTTCATGCAGCAAGTACTGTTTCATCTCAACCAGATTAGATAAGAACATGAAACCAGAGCCTATGCTTTCTCACTGTAGTGAACACGAGTTCTATTCTTTTATACTTAAAATGCCTTTGAAAGAAAACCTGTCAACACTGGCCTGGACCTTCTGAATCACCTAGAAGAAATGTTTTGTTTCCTTCATAAACCGATAGTTTTAATCTTCTGATTCCATCTTTCCTGAAGAAGTAGCTTCTGAATGAAGATACCCAGGCAACCTGTTTATTACTACTACTGATTTTCTAATACTATGAATATACATGCCCATTGCCATATGTTTTCCATAAACCAGTTTAGATATACAATAACCTCTTAAATGTCAAATCTTTTAAATGTTAGAAATAATTGCAAACCATAGTTTTTCCTGTCAAATGCCTTCAGAGTCCTAAAAAAAAATACTATTCATAGATTTGATTCACCTGATATAAAAGAGGGGGTCCAGTGTTGTGTTGCAGCAGGTTAATCCATTGCTTGGAATGCCAGCCTCCTATGTCAGAGTGCCCATTTAAGTCCTGGCTGTTCCACTTTCAACTTCCTGTTAGTGCTCCTGAGAAGGCAGTGGAAGATGGCCCAAGTGCCTGGGCCGCTGCTACACATGTGGGAGACCCAGATAGAGTTCCTGGCTCCTGACTCCACTCCTCATTTTTGCCTAGCCCAGTTATATCTGTTATGGTCATTTGCAGGTTAATCAGTGAGTGAAAGATCTCTGTTTCTCCCTGTTACTCCTTCAAATAAATAAATAAATAAATAGTCATTAAAAAAGGGGGGAGAGGGGGAGAAGGCATCTGTATTCCAAATCTACACAAAAGGAATTCTGTTGATTGGTTGTAGCCCCAGGAGGTTAGCAAGCAGTTTACCCATTGAGAGGAACTTGTATGGTCCTGTATCTTACTTCAGTGCTTCAAATAAATTCCACTTCCTGTGTCTGCACTGAAGGAAAGTGTTACGATCTACCAGTTACGCACGCCTGCTGTGGCAGTCACCTCTGCTCTGCCACTTACTTGCTCGTGGGATATTAGTGACATGTCATTAACCCTCTCTGGTGCCTCATTTATCATATGAAATAACAACTGTACTTACCCCATGAGTTATTATGAGAATTTAATGATGTCATACACAAAAGCTCTTTAACAGTGTGCTTGGCAAGTGGTTAAGTTCACAATAGCTAATTCTGTGACTGTGACAAATTCATTTTGGAAGCCACATGCCAGACCATTGTTATACAAACTGATAAGCTCAGTCACTGAATGCCCCAAAGTGATGAGCATTGAGAAAATACATACATCCCTGTGCCCCAATTTACTTAGTTGATGTTGCATCCCCAAGCAGCATGTTATAGCGAAGTTACTCAGTCTGTACTATTGTGTAAGTACATACCAGAGCCACAAGAGAGCACAAAAAGTTGCATTTATTGTTTCTGACAATTGCATAGTCAACTCTCAGTCTGCTCATGCTCCTAGAATCACAAATCTGAAATACAATTTTCTTCTCAATTAAAAACATACATTTTGCAGTGATTAGAAAATTTTCAAAAAAAGTAATCTTAAAAAAAT